ATCTAGGCGCGGTATCACTTATAACCTAAACCCCTAAACCCTAAACCCTAAACCCTAAACCCTAAACCCTAAATCTTAAACCCTAAACGCTAAACCCTAAACCGAGTAAACGCTGCAACGGGAACCAGTCCGCCGTAAGAGGCACTCTTGTTAGCATGCTGCTCGGATGCCCAACCTGTCAGAAACCAACATCCGCAGATGCAAGGGTTTAGGGTTTAGGGTTCAGGGTTTAGGGTTGTCATGTCGGGAGCTCCGGTATTCGTCTTTAAGTTCGAGCACCCAACCCCTAAACTCACATGGGCGACATTTGGGTTTAGGGTTGAGGGTTTAGGGTTAGGCATACTTACAATCCCAGGCCCTCGACAAATGGCTTTTATGTGTATATATATATATGTATATATATATATATATATATATATATAGAAAAAGTAGCCTGGGTGGTTTAGGGTTTAGGGTTTAGGGTTTAGGGTTTTGGGGGTAGGGCTACAGGGTTTAAGGTTTGGGGTTTGGCGTAGTCTAGGGTTTTGGAAGCCCAGCACCCTGCATGGCAAGAACAAGCGGGCTCCATGGTGGCAGCGAGTCACAGGAGCCTTCGCAGGAGGGAGCATGGTAAGAACACGCGCACGCGATTGCGGGCGACATGCTGGGGCTGCTCCATGGTGGCAGCGAGTCCCAGGGCTGGAGCCCCCTCCGTCCCACCCCCCTGGGGGCTTCAGCCCCTTAAGCCCTTCAGCCCCAAACCCTAAACCCTAAACGCTAAACCCAAAACCCTGGACCCTAAACCCTAAACCCTAAATCCTAAACCCTAAACCCTAAACCCTAAGCCCTAAACCCTAAACCCGAAACCCTAAACCCTAAACCCTAAACCCGAAGCCTTAACTCCTTCGGCGAACAGGCTGTCCGACAGCAGGCCGAGCTGAACGCAGGGAGGGCGCGGATGCACAAGGCAGGTTTAGGGTTTAGGGGGTTTAGGGTTTTAGGGTTTTAGGGTTTTAGGGTTTTAGGGTTTTAGGGTTTTAGGGTTTTAGGGTTTTAGGGTTTTAGGGTTTTGGGGTTTTGGGGTTTTGGGGTTTAGGGTCTATGTTTTAGGGTTTAGGGTCTAGGCTTTAGGGTTTTAGGGTTTAGGGCCTAGGTTTTAGGGTTTAGGGTTTTAGGGAGGGATTCTTAGGGTTTGGGGTTTAGGGTTTAAGGTTTTGGGGTGTAGGGTTTTGGGGTTTAGGGTCACCCTCCAAAGCCGGTCGTGTTGAGTTTGCACTTCAAGCCCAGAATCCTCACACCCCAACCCCAGAGTTCTACACCCTAAGCAAAGCGCCTAAAACCCAAAGCCCTGCAACCGTAGCTTTATACCCTAAACCAAGCCCCCCCAAAAGCCCCCAGACCCAAGACTCTACACCCAAAACTTCTAAACCCCCCAAACGCCCCGAAGACCCCAACCCTCAAGAAACCCTTCGCCCTGAAGCCCGAAACCCGAAACCCTAAACCCTAAACCCTAAACCCTGAACCCTAAACCCTAAACCCTAAACCCTAAACCTAGACCCCAGGAGGCCCAGCGAGTGGCCGCTTCCGTGCCCGCGAAGAGCAAGGCGAAGTCGCTGGCGCCGGGCGCACTGGCGAAGTCCCAGGCATTTCGGGGGTTTAGGGTTTAGGGTTTGGGGTTTCGGGTTTGGGGTTTAGGGTTTAGGGTTTGGGGTTTAGGGTTTGGGGTTTAGGGTTTGGGGTTTAGGGTTTGGGGTTTAGGGTTTAGGGTTTGGGGTTTAGGGTTTGGGGTTTAGGGTTTAGGGTTTGGGGTTTAGGGTTTGGGGTTTAGGGTTTAGGGTTTGGGGTTTAGGGTTTAGGGTTTAGTGTTTATGGTTTAGGGTTTGGGGTCTAGGGTTTGGGGTTTAGGGTTTGGGTTTAGGGTTTGGGGTTTAGGGTTTGGGGTTTAGGGTTTAGGGTTTAGTGTTTAGGGAGTTTAGGGTTTGGGGTTTAGGGTTTGGGGCTTGTGGTTTAGGGTTTGGGGTTCAGGGTTCAGGGTTTAGTGTGTTCCAACGAGACACAGTCCCGACGCGAGCCAGGAGCCTAAACCCCAGTTCTCCTAAACCCTTCAACCCCCTTGGGTTTAGGGTTTAGGGTTAAGGGTTTAGGGTTTAGGGGTAAGCCTGCCCGTAGCTTGGTAGCCCAGTGGTACCCCTTTTTTCCCTGTGTTTGTTTCAAGGTTACCTTTTTAACGTAAGCCTAGACCCTAAAATCCCTAAATCCTAAACCCAAAACCCTAAACCCTAAACCCTAAACCCTAAACCCTAAACCCTAAACCCTAAACCCTAAACCCTAAACCCTAAACCCTAAACCCTAAACCCAAAGAAGGGTGCCCTGATTCTCATATGGTTCCTGGGCTACCAGGATATTGAGCCATGCCAGGTCAAGCCTGCCCAGCCAGCACAGGCGCGGCCGGGGCCCGAAGCCGTGAACTCGGAAATAAGCTTTAGGTTTTAGTTTAGGGTTTAGGGTTGAGGGTTTAGTTTAGGTTTTAGAGTTTAGGATGTAGGGTCTAGGGTTTAGGGTTGAGGTCGACGGTTTAGGGTTTAGCCAGGCCCCAAGCCCCCAAGCTCTCAACTTTAGAGGGTTTGGGGTTGGAAGCCGTTAACCCTTAACAACCTTAAACCCTGAACCCTGAACCCTAAACCCTAAACCATAAACCCTAAACCCTAAACCCTACTCACTTCCTGAGTCCTTTTGGTGTCGCACAGGAGCGCGTCCCCGAGTCTGATGTGCCCTCGGAGCCACCGCCGGGCTGGCACTCGGCGTCCCAGGCCCTGGCATGGGTTTGGGGTTTAGGGTTTAGGGTTTAGGGTTTAGGATTTAGGGTTTAGGGTTTAGGGTTTAGGATTTAGGGTTTAGGGTTTAGGGCTTAGGGCCCAAGAACATCCCAAGCCCACAGCAACGTTCCGTCAAGATGTGTGCGGGCAACAGACGCCGCAAGGCATGTTTGTTTACAGTTTTTTCGCGGATGACGACTAAGGCAAGTAACGGGCTTAGGGTTTAGGGTTTGGGTTTAGGGTTTAGGGTTTTCGAGATGTTCGCAGGAACAAGTTGTTGACCCAACTCTCGGACGTGGTCTAAGCGACTTCAACTGCTTCTGGTGGCATGCCCAACTTCGCTGCCAAACCCAGGATTTCCCCCCGTGGAATGAGGGAACAAGGGGCCTCTGTATACCCTTTAAGGGATTCCCACCCAAGCTCCAGCCAGTTTTTGTCACAGATGCTCAATGTAAGTCGTGAGTAGTGCAGTGGCCCTGCAAATTTGTTGTGAGGGAGGCATGATCTTGAAACCAAAACAAGTTCTCCGGATCCATGGAAAGTTTAGGTTGGTCCTTAACCGTTCTACCCCTAAACCCTAAACCCTAAACCCTAAACCCTAAACCCTAAACCCTAAACCCTAAACCCTAAACCCTAAACCCTAAACCCTAAACCCTAAACCCTAAACCATAAACACTAAACCCTAAACCCTAAACCCTAAACCCTAAACCCTAAACCCTAAACCCTAAACCCTAAACCCTAAACCCTAAACCCTAAACTTTTAGGGGCTTCGCCCTTGTGCGCCAGCGCAGCTTTTTGTTGAGTTGTCGTCAGTTGCTTTGCGGTTGCGCAGGCGAGGTGGTTTAAGTAAATCGAACAAAGAAGACTTTTGGGCTTTGTGCCTGTGCAGGGCAAGGAGGTTCAAGAAGAGTGAACATTTCAGCACTTTGGAGCTGTTTGAAAGCCACCCGGTGCCTTTTCGGGCTCTTTGCTGGTGGCTTTTTGGGGCTCTGAAGGCAACTTCCGTTGCCAATTCGGGCCTTCTGAAGCCAATTCGGGCCTTCTGAAGCCAATTTTGGGCCTTCTAAAGCTAATTTGGGCCTCTGAAGCCAGTTTTGGCCTTCTGAAGCCAATTTTGAGGCCAATTTTGGGCCTTCTAAAGCTAATTTTGGCTTCTGAGGCTTCTGAAGCCAATTTTGGCCTTCTGAAGCCAATTTTGGGCCTTCCAAAGCTAATTTTGGGCTTCTGAGGCTTCTGAAGCCAATTTTGGCCTTCTGAAGCCAATTTGCGCCTTCTAGACAAGTTTTTGATCGCCTTTTGCACTTAAACAACCATATAATATGAATCCAGACCTTGAAAAAGAAGCCTAAAAGGCAAAAGCTAATTTTGGGCTTCTGAGGCTTGAAGCCAATTTTGGCCTTCTGAAGCCAATTTTGGGCCTTCTAAAGCTAATTTTGGGCTTCTGAGGCTTCTGAAGCCAATTTTGGAAGCCAATCTGAGCTTTGAAGCTTAGGCCTTCTGAAGCCAATCTTCTGAAGCATATAGGAGCTTTTTAAGCGAATTTGGGTTTCTGAAGCCAATTCGGGCCTTCTGTTCAGCCTCTCGAAATTTTTTCACCGAGAAAACGGTGAAACATTTTGAGGCTTAGGGCAGCCACCTATAGAATAGTTGACTTGGGCGCCACGCTGCGCTGGCGAACCCTAAGCCCTAAACCCTAAACCCTAAACCCTAAACCCTAAACCCTAAACCCTAAACCCCAAACCCTAAACCCTAAACTCTAACCCCTAAGCCCTAAGCCTTAAATCCTAAACCCTAGGCGTTTTGGGGTTTGGGTTTTACGGCTTGGGTCTCTGCTTGGCAGCCTAGTCTACATGCTTCCATCAGGCCCCGTGGCCGGCGCGTGCCTGAGATGTCGCAGCGGGGGGCTCTTGCTGGGTTCTAAACCCCAGAAGCCCTAAGCCATGTACGCCCTGGATTCCCTCAAGCCCTGCGCAAAACCCTAAATCCTAAACCCTAAACCCTAAACCCGAAACCCTAAACCCTAAACCCGAAACCCGAAACCCTAAACCCGAAACCCCAAACCCTAAACCCTAAACCCTAAACCCTAAAACCCCAAAAGCCCTAAGTCCACCCTCTGCGAAGCCCAAGCAATCCGAGGTGGCTCCAGGTCCACCTCCGGCCGCGCCACCCCAAACCCCAAGATTGGCAGGAAGTGCCGGCGACGACATGGCACCGCCTCCGGGCCCCTTGGCTTCAGGTTTAGGGTTTAGGGTTTAGGGTTTAGGGTTTAGGGTTTAGGGTTTAGGGTTTAGGGTTTAGGGTTTAGTGTTTAGGTCTTCCATGTTTCATGAGTGGGAGTTCTGCGTTCTGTGTACATGCGTTTGTAGGGCCCTTCGAAACCCGAAAACGCCCACGGAAGCCGAGGTAACTTCGCAGCTCCAGAGCCTGCCCTTCGTTACAAGTCAGGCCAGGGGCCACCTACGGAATTCCTGGCAGATCCACACAAGCACATACCAGCAAACTACCCCCCAGCCCCCCAAGCACCGCAAGGACAGGGTCGCCGGGACGCCTACCCCGCGCACCAAAGCCACCCTTACCCAGACCCCCGTCCGCCCTATCCGATTCAGCACGGATACCGGCCACAGTCTCCGCCAGCCCCCAACCCTTACCAGAGCCAACCTCCAAACACGCGCCACTCCCATGGGTCCCAGGCCCAGACACCTCCCCAGGCTCCACCTCAGGGATCCGAGACCTCGAAGTACCCACCTCGTGAGCCCCCAGCTCAAAAGCCCAAAGCGCCATATCCGTCCCAGAGCGCATGGGGCCCGCGAGACAACAGGGAGACGCCCCCAAGCTCTTGGGGTGCCCGTGCCGACATGAAGTCGGGAGAGGGACACCGCCTGCGTCGCCGCAGGCGCCACCGCTCCACGCGGGAGCCCACGGACCGACCGGCCTCTCACCGGCGCTCGCATCGGCGGAGGCGAGACCGCAGCCGCAGTCGAAGAGCAACTCCCGAGAGACCCCCTGGAGATCATGGCGCTGTGCCGGCTCAGATGCAGCCGCCAAAGCAGCCGCCAATGCAGCCGCCAAAGCAGCCGATGCAGCCGCCAACGCAGCCTGGCCCGCCTCCGCGTGCTCGGGAAGAGCGACCGTGGCCTTACGCAAATCCTTCAATCCCTCACCCTGCAGTTCCGCCATCACGGCCACCGTTTCCCGACCGGGTCGACCGGCCGGTCGTGCAACGCGCCCCGCCGTCGCACTTGGCGCAGCCGCACGCAACGCAGCAGCGCTTGCCGCAGGCACACGTGCCGCAGCACTCGCTGCCACCGCAGGCGCGGATGCAGCAGGCACCACCGCAGGCACAACCCCGCGCGCCTCACGGAGGACGGGAGCCCAGCCGTCCGCCACCTGCGTGGAGGGACCTCGCGCAGCCGCAGCGGCCGCGGCCCCACCCTTATTGAGGAATGCGACATGAACCACTGCTTGCTCGCAGACGCGTTTGAGCCCAGGAAATGTGCACATGGCCTTCAGCTCAGGTGGTCGGAGTCCTCCGCCCCAGCAGGGGTTTCTGCAGCACCGGTGCCGGTGCCAGCAGCCGTGGCGCCGCCGTTTGGCCGCAATCGTTTCTTAGGGTCCCGGATACCCCAACATGATAGCAATAATGCATTCAACTCATTCAGGGCCCTCATTCTGGCAGGTGGAATTAGGGATAAGTAAGGTGCATGACGGTGTATACTCCTTAATTCGAGGGGTGTGAGGATGAGGGTTCAGGGTTCAGGGTTTAGGGTATAGGGTTTAGGGTTCAGGGTTTAGGGTTCGGGGTTTAGGGTGAGCTCCATTTGGGAGGTTCGACGCGCAAGAGTCCTACAGCTACAGCAGCCGGCATCTCAGTTCGTCCGACTTGCCCATCTGCCTTGAAACCCTAAACCCCAAGCCCCAAACCTTATACCCCAAACCCCACACCCCACACCCCACACCCCACACCCCACGCCCCAAACCCCAAACCCCAAACCCCAAACCCCAAACCCCAAACCCCAAACCCCAAACCCCAAACCCCAAACCCCAAACCCCAAACCCCAAACCCGAAACCCTAAACCCTAAACCCTAACCCTAAACCCTAAACCCTAGACCCTAGACCCTAGACCCTAAACCCTAGACCCTAAACCCTAAACCCTAAACCCTCAACCCTAAACCCTAAACCCTAAACCCTACGCCGCCCGAAGCCTTACCTGGCCCTACCTTGAGAACCCAAACCCCCAAATCCCCAAGCCCCCCACCCACCACGCCCCCAACCCCCGAAACCCCAAACCCCCGAAACCCCAAACCCCCAAACCCCCAAGCCAGAAACCCCGAACCCGCTGAAGTTCTGCAAGATTTAGGGGACGACACATTCGCGCTCAGGTGAGCGGTCTGGGTCGGCGGACTCTTACAGCCGCATCCCCAGGCGTTTTAGGGTTTAGGGTTTAGGTTTAGGGTTTGGGGTTTAGGCGGTTTAGAGTTTAGGGTTTGGGGTTTAGGTTTAGGGGTTTAGGGTTTAGGGTTTTAAGCAGTCGTGTGTTTAAGTGTGAGTGGATTGTGTTTAAGTGTGGGTGGGTGTGGGTGTCGGTTGGGGGCCGGTTGGGGTTCAGGGATGTTCAGGGTGTACCTCCGGAAGCCCTACTTGGATCTTCAGGGTACTTAGTAACCCTGGGTTTAGGGGTTTAGGGTTTAGGGTTTAAAGGGTTATAACTGTACTTATATCCTAATAATATCTGACTAGAGTACGCACGGGGCTACTCTTATAATGGGTTACTAAGCACCCTGAACCTCCAAGTATTGTCATCCTCAGAGGCTGACCCTAAACCCTAAACCCTAAACCCTAAACCCTAAACCCTAAACCCTAAACCCTAAACCCCTAAACCCCTAAACCCCTAAACCCCTCAACCCCTCAACCCCTAAACCCCTAAACCCCTAAACCCCTAAACCCTTAAACCCTAAACCCTAAACCCTAAAAGGCCGTCATCGCTGACATGGCCCAACGAACTCCCCGAAGCATTTCTTCGCAACCTCATAAGATTAGAAGCCCTAGACAAACCCCAAACCCCAAACCCCAAACCCCAAACCCCAAACCCCAAACCCCAAACCCCAAACCCCAAACCCCAAACCCCAAACCCCAAACCCTGAACCCTAAACCCTACACCCCAATCCCTATACCCTAAAACCCTGAACCCTGAACCCCAAACCCCAAATCTCAAACCCTGCACTCCTAAGGCTCCTACTCGAGCGTCGGACCTATGGGAGTCGCGGCCTTAGCCTTGAAGGACGCCTCAAAGAAGGCGGTTTAGGGTTTAGGGTTTAGGGTTTAGGGTTCAGGGTGTTTCGGCTGGCAGGGCTAGAGTTTTAGGGTGGGTTTAGGGTTTAGGGTTTAGGTTTTAGGGTTTAGGGTTTAGGGTTTAGGGTGTTTCGGGGTTAGTTAGGGTTTAGGGCTTATAGGGCTAGAGGTTTTGGGGTTTAGGGTTTAGGGTTTAGCTAAACCTTAAACCCCAAACCCTAAACCCTAAACCCTAAACCCTAAACCCTAAACCCTAAACCCTAAACCCTAAACCCTAAACCCATGAACCTCCAAGTTGTAGTTGGCTAATACGTACCATGAACCTCCAAGTAGGGGCCCTTTCGCTTTAAAGCCTGAAACCCTAAACCCTAGGCCCTAAAACCCTAAACCCTAAACCCCAAACCCGAAACCCTAAACCCCAAACCCTAAACCCTAAACCCTAAACCCCAAACCCTACAAAAGAAAGGTTTTCGGTAGGGCTCTTCTTGCCCAGGCTCCCGGCGCTTCACGCCCAGCGCCAGGTGAGGGGCTGTCAGGGTTTAGGGTTTAGGGTTAGAGTTTAGGGTGTAGGGTTTAGGGGTTAGGGTATCGAGCTGCTTTCCTCCGACTTTGAGCTCGAATTCTGGCGAACTAGGCGTGAAGGCTCTTGCCGCATGGGTGTGTTTACAGACAAACAGACACGTAGCCATGGGTACATGTGGGCAGGGAGGGTGCAGACCTCTTTTTTTGTGGGAGGATGTCATCCTAAACCCTTATGCAATGCTCGCCGAAGCCCGCTGTCTTTATTGTGAGAGGCGAGTGGGGTTGGAGGCTTGTCGGTTCAAACGCCCCTGATATATAACCCCTAGAACCCCTCAAAACCCCCAAGCCTCCTTCAACAAACACACTAGAAAACTCTAAACCCCATGGAAACATATTCAAACCCCCGAATGCGCAGGCATCTCGCCCTTTGCGGCCGCAACTCCGACCGTTGTCCCGGTGCCATCACAGCCCGCTCCGAAGGTGCCGCGACAGGGTTGGTTGAAATTATCAGGGTTTGGGGTTTAGGGTTTGGGGTTTAGGGTTTAGGGTTTAGGATTTGGGGTTTAGGGTTTAGGGTTGAGGGTATCGCGAAGTTTTGAGAGGTTTCGATTTTGACTTGGGAAGAGTTTCAAGTTACACGGACAGGGGTTAAACGCTAGCAGGCCTAACCCTCTACACCCGAAACCCTAAACCCTAAACCCCAAACCCCAAACCGCAAACCCCAAACCCCAAACCCTAAACCCTAAACCCTAACCCTAAACCCTAAACTCTCCCCTTGGAGCTCCAGGTCTGCCTCATGGACGGCGAGGACTACTCCGAGTCTAGCCCTTAGCCGCCTTTCCTGGCACCAGAATGGACTCTAAAAGTTCGCCTATCTAGGGTTTAGGGTTTAGGGTTTAGGGTTTAGGGTTTATGGTTTAGGGTTTAGGGTGTAGGGAGTCATGTGCCCTATTCAGGGTTCAGGGTGTTTATAAGGGTTACTCCAAACCTGCAACCCTATTGGGGTTCATGTGGTCCTCAGGTTGTGGATGGAAGGCGCACTTCGGGTTTAGAGGTTCCTTGTTTGTAGGGGCTGAGGAGAGTACCCTAAGCCCTAAACCTTAAAAGCTGCTGGGCCGTCATTCTCGGAGTCAAGAGAAGGCTGCTAGAGCTGCGAAGAGTCGAAAGGGAAGTTTTTCATAGTAGTTTCCCAGCAGCTGAGGGTACCAACTCCTAAACCCTAGACCCTGAACCCTCGACCCTAAACCCTCAACTTCCATCAGCCCCTAGCGATGATGGCACGGGTGTGCTGGGTTCTGCTTGCTGCGCCAGTTTGGGCCGCTCCCCCGACGAGTTCCTTCAAGGTGTGCACAGCCGGGGACTACCCTCCCCTCACGCACTTCAGCAAGGAGGGCGGCTACTTACTTCGCCAAGAGTTGAACTTTAAGCTTTTTGGGGTTTCCTGACTTAGCAGGAAGAACCCTAAACCCTAAACCCTAAACCCTAAACCCTAAACCCTAAACCCTAATCCCTTGGTTTTGTTTGGAGAAGTAAGGCTATCAGGGCCTAGGGCCGCTGGTGATTCAGAGCTTCGCAGCCGCGCGCAACTACACGGTGGAGTTTGTGCTCACTCCCTGGGCTAATCTCAGCAGCAACCTGAGGCTTGCTGGCTCAACAACCCAACTTTTCAACTTTTGGGGGCTTCTTATAAGGGAATTTATTCTGAAAGTTTCAACTTTTGGGCTTCTTATAAGGGAATTTATTATTCTGAAAGTTTCAGCTTTCATTTCCTTGGGTTTTGGGCCAGTAAGGAGGGCAGAGTGCCTGGTGGCGGCAGGGGGCATCACCTGGACGCAGAAGCGGGCCGAGGAGTTCCTGGTCTCGGTTCCCCTGGAGCCGGACAGGAAGGTGCCCATCTTTGCCTCAAGGAGCACGCAGCGCTTCGAGGATTTCAAGGATTTTGACCGGGAAGGGGTGAGCATCATTGAGAACCATGGCGGTACGAACGAGAAGTACGCCCACGTCCTCTTTCAGAAGGGTCTGCTTACGAAGCCGGTCCTCGACATCGCCCCGAGCAACCAGGAGGCGTACGCGTGCCTGCGCGAGTGCAGCGCGCGCCCCCTCGTCATGTTCACGGACAGCATCGAGGTCGACTTCCTTGCTGGACAGCCGGGCTCAACTTTCTCAGACAAGGGCCTACGCATGGCCATGCCAGACATTCCCGCCTTCGAGAGCCACAAGGTTTTCCTGGCCCGGAATACCTCAGCAGGCGCCGCGATACTGCAAGAGCTCAACAAGTTCCTGGTTGACATCAAGTCTGACGGACGGTACGAGCTCTGGAAGCGGAAAGCCTTCTCCACCAAGTACCCCTCTCCTTCCGCCACCTGCCCTCTCCAGGCGCTCTGTACAGAAGGTGCCGAGCTGTACAGGGGAGGTGCCACTCCCAGGCCAGGTCTGCTTCTTCTCTAGGTTTTAGGCTTTACTGTCAACCTCCCTTTTGCATCTGCCGGCCACGCGAGAGTGGTTCCGCGGCGGACGTTTGACCCGACGCTCGCAGAACAGCAAAAGCGTGCCACAGGCCCAAGACGCAACCCAGCGAAGGTCCAAGCCTCCCCACCCCCCCCCCCCCCCCCCCCCCCCCCCCATATCCACCCATGTCCCGACCTTAACCCCCAACCCCCAACCCCCAACCCCCAACCCCCAACCCCCAATCCCCAACCCCCAACCCCCAACCCCCAACCCCCAAATCCCATTGTCCGAAGCCTACTTACTTAGCCCGGCAAGGTCGGAGAGCCATAGCCGTTATAGCCTTCTGGTCATGTAGTGTTCTTGGGGTTTCAGGAGCCCTAAGTCCTAAACCCTAAACCCCGAGCTCTAAGCCCTAACCCCTAAACCCTAAACCCTAAACCCTAAACCCTAAACCCTAAACCCTAAACCCTGCACCCTAAACCCTAAACCCTAAACCCTAAACCCTAAACCCTAAACCCTAAACCCTAAACCCTAAACCCTAAACCCTAAACCCTAAACCCTAAACCCCAAACCCAATGAAATGAACACACCCTCAGCCCCGAACTAAACCCTGACACAGGTCCTCCGACTCGTCCTCCTCTTCGCTGAGGGTCCTTCCGAAGGCCCCGTTGTGCACACTGTGCGGCACGTTGAGCCCTAGGGTTTAGGGTTTAGGGTTTAGGGTTCCCTAGGTTGTAAGTCTAAGGCCGCAAGAGGTAAGCTTGGGGGTTTGGGGTTTCGGGCTTAGTGTTTAGGGTTTGGGGTTTCGGGCTTAGGGTCGAAAATGTAAGTAGGGTACTAGAAGGCCTTTGTAAGGGGTATACAAGAGAGTGCGCTTGTCATGGTATATGGAGGTTTCCGAAAATTGGGTACCCTTTTTGGGGGTCCCCTTAAGGGGATTGTATTCTATCTGGGGTACCCTAAACCCTACACCCTACACCCTACACCCTACACCCTACACCCTACACCCTAAACCCTAAACCCTAAACCCTAAACCCTAAACCCTAAACCCTAAACCCTAAACCCTAAACCCTAAACCCTAAACCCCATTTGGGAAACTCCGGTATGTTCATTGTTCAAGTTTGGATTGTGGCGGCCGGCTTCACCCTGAACCCCAAGACCCCTTCAACAACGACCTACAGAATCCGAAAACCCTAAGGTTTAGGGTTTAGGGTTTAGGGTTTAGGGTTTAGGGTTTAGGGTTTAGGGTTTAGGGTTTAGGGTTTAGGGTTTAGGGTTACAGATCGTCTTCCGTACAGCTCGTGGCTTCCGAGCGGCATCGAGTTTACAGCGCTGTGGAAGAGTGCCCTCTGGTGTGTGCGAGGGGACCAAGCTGCAACGGACTGGACCGAGCCGCGACTGGCGGATTACCTAGAGGACCACCTCCTGCAAGTGAGCGCCAGCGGAGCATCGGTGCCCCCTGGCGGAGTGGCCTGGGATGTGTTCCTCTTAGCTTCACCACTTACGCTCCCAATGCCATCGAAAGATCTTGGAGGTTGCTGAAGTCGCTGCTGATGTCGAAGTTCCTTCGCTGAAGCCCTATACGCTAAGCCCTACGCCCTACGCCCTAAGCCTTAAGCCCTAAGCCCTAAGCCCTAAACCCTAAACCCTGAACCCCAAACCCTAAAGAACAAGGTTTATGATGCCAGCTGTAGGGTGTCCTGGGACACGGGGGGTCGCTTGGGCCACTTGGGTCATGAGACTTGGAACACGTGGGACGCTTGGAACACTTCTTGGGTTTTGGGTTTAGGGTTTAGGGTTTCGGGTTTAGGGTTTAGGGTGTAGGGTTTAGGGTTTAGGGTTACCCGGGACCTGGGTCACTTGCGTCACTTGGAGCACTTGGGACACAGAACTTACACTTTAGTCACTCGGGCCACTTACGGCATGATGGAGAACTTGGAGCTTAGGAAGCTTGGAGACTTGAAGCACTTGGAACACCTGGGTCACACTTGGGGGCTTACGAAAACTAGGGAGCCGGCGTTGAAACACCCTAGAACCCTAATCAAGCCCTAAACCCCAGAACCCTCAAGCCCACAACCCTACTTTTAAGACCCTGATCCCTTCAAAACCCACAAGCTCAACTCCCCCTAGCTCCTACCTGCACCCACCCCTTAAAGCCTAAACCCTGCACACAAAAGCTTGAAACCTCAAACCCCAAAACCCTCAAGGTCTGAAGCCTTTCAACTCTGAAACCCGAAAGCCCCTGAGGCCCTTCTGGCTTTAGACCCTGGGCCCGGAATAGTTACTAGTAGCATTCCCGTATGGTGCATATATATGTATGCGACAATACACCCCCCCCCCCCCCCCCCAAAACCCTGTTCTAGTTATCGAGGCCCTGACATTAAGCCCCTAAGCCCTAAGGCCCTAAGGCCCTAAGGCCCTAAGGCCCTAAGGCCCTAAGGCCCTAAGGCCCTAAGGCCCTAAGGCCCTAAGGCCCTAAGGCCCTAAGGCCCTAAGGCCCTAAGGCCCTAAACCCTAAACCCTAAACCCTAAACCCTTAACCCTTAACCCTTAACCCTAAACCCTAAACCCTAAACCGTAAACCCTGCAAACTGGCGGAGGCCGGCACGGCTGCGGTGCACCCACCTGGACCTCAGGTGTACGGAGGTGCATTCATAGGGGTGGTAGGTCAAAATTAGGGTTTTTAGGGTTTATATCGGGTTGGAGGACTCTTATAAGGGTGCACTTGGGATTGTTAGGGTTTCTAGGGTTTGAGGACCTACACGGGTGTAATTGAGGGGTTTTTAGGGCTTGTAGGGGTTTGTAGGGTTTACTTAGAGGGTTTTGAGGGGTGAGGTTTGTAGGGTTTAGAGAGCTTAGGGTTCGGGCGGCCTTAAAACCCGAAACACCTGAGGTCCTTTCTACTAGTTTAGGGTGGGCGGGAGGGTTGGGGGGTTTGGGGTTTAGGGTTTTAGGGTTTGGGTTTAGGGTTTGGGGTTAACTAGGCCGTAGGGTTTTAGAAGTCTGGGGGGAAACGTCCTGCACCCATTTTTTGTGGAACCGGGGCTGAAGGCGTGAGCCAAACAGGTTGAGGGTTTAGGATAGTTCTTTAGGGAACTGGCCGTGTAGGGTTTGGGACTGAGGCCTGCTTCTGTTCCCTTGTAAGTTGGGATGCTCCCCCTTTTTCTAACAGTCCTTAATCGGGATTTTAGTGCCCTCCATTATCATCCCTACTGAGGACTGTTACCATAAGGGGGAACATCCCAACTTGTAAGCCACAATTGTCCCCCACAAAGTTTTTGGTTTTTGGTCTTCAAAGCGCTAAGCCCGAGAACCCCCGACAGGAGCGCAAACTAGAAAAGGCGCCTCAGCGTGTTTCGGGGGCTTCCGGCCGCCCTAAACCCTAAACCCAAAACCCTAAACCCTAAACCCTAAACCCTAAACCCTAAACCCTAAACCCTAAACCCTAAACCCTAAACCCTAAACCCTAAACCCTAAACCCTATGCCCTAAACCCTAAACCCTAAACCCTAAACCCGAAACCCTAAACCCTAAACCCTAACCCCAAACCCTAAACCCAAACCTCGGGTTTCGGGTTTAGGGTTTGGGGCACCTGAAGCCCAAAAAGCTCCCCAAGCTCCCACCAAGCCCAAGCCACAAAAGCCCAACTCCGCCCAAGAACTTAGGGTTTAGGATTTAGGGTTTGGGGTTTAGGGTTTAGGGTTTAGGATTTGGGGTTTAGGGTTTAGGGTTTAGGGTTAGGGTTTACGGTTACGATTTAGGGTTTGGGGTTTAGGGTTTAGGGTTTAGGGTTTAGGGCTTAGGATTTGGGGTTTAGGGTTTAGGGTTTAGGGTTTAGGATTTAGGGTTTGGTGTTTAGGGTTTAGGGTTTAGGATTTGGGGTTTAGGGTTTAGGGTTTAGGGCTCTCCATGCCTCCCGTCTGCAGGTCCTCCCCCGGTGGTCAAGCAGGCCACCCCGGAGTGTGTTCGGGGTTAGGGCTTCTTATCTCCAAGCTTAGGGTTCAGGGAATGGGTTTAGGGTTTAGGGTTTAGGGTTTAGGGTTTAGGGTTTAGGGTTTTTTTAGGGTTTAGGGTTTAGGGTTTAGGGCTTAGGGTTTAGGGTCCAGGGTTCAGGGTTCAGGGTTCCAAGCTCCAAGCTCCAAGCCTTCCACCCTCAACCCTAAACCCTGAAACCTCAGACCCTAAACCCTAAAACCCTAGAATTTAAAGCCCTTAACAACCCCAAACTCCATGGATTTCCGGGGTTTTGTTTGGGTTTGGAGCTAACCTCTAAACTCTGAGCCCTAAACCCTATCTTTCAGGTTCCCATCCCGGTGCAGACGCCTGAGCCCCATCGGCCGGCCCGAGGCCATCAGGGTTTAGGGTTTGGGGTTTAGGGTTTAGGGTTTAGGATTTAGGGTTTAGGGTTTAGAGTTTAGAGTTTGGGGGGAGGGGTTTCAGGGACCCTGAACCCTTAAGCCTAAAGCCTAAACCCTAAACCCGAAGCTGTGAACCCGAAACCGGCCCTAAACCCTCCTAACCGAAACCCTACACCCTCAAGGGTTTAGGGGTTCAGAGGTTAGGGTTAGATTTTGCGAGACTCAAATAGCAGGAAGAGGCACTCCGAACCCCGAACCCAAAAGGGTTTAGGGTTTAGGGTTTAGGGTTTTTGGGTTTAGGGTTTAAGGGGTTAGGATTTAGGGTTCAGGGTGTTTTTCGTTTTGGGAGTCACGCTTGCTGCTTCATCGAATGTGCTACAGTCCAAGAGTGACAGGTGTAAACTTGGGCTGTCTCGAGGGTTGGCTTTTTTAATAGCTACATGATCACCAATCATCCTAAACCCTACGCCCAAAACCCTAAAGCCAGAAGCCAAAAGCCTAAAGCCTAGAGCCTAAAGCCTAAAGCCTAAAGCCTAAAGCCTAAAGCCTAAAGCCTAAAGCCTAAAGCCTAAAGCCTAAAGCCTAAAGCCTAAAGCCTAAAGCCTAAAGCCCAAAGCCCAAAGCCCAAAGCGCTAAAGCCTAAAGCCCGAAAGCCCTAAAGCCCTAAAGCGCTAAAGCCCGAAAGCCCTAAAGCCCGAAAGCCCTAAAGCCCTAAAGCCCTAAAGCCCTAAAGCCCTAAACCCTCAACTGCACATATTCGGGTAGAGGCCCCTGATCCCTACGCCTGCGGCCCTAAACCCTGAGCCCTGAAACCTGAGCCCTGAACCGAAGGGTTTTGGGGGAAGCTTAGGGTTTAGGGTTTGGGGTTTAGGGTTTAGGGTTTAGGGTTTGGGGTTTGGGGTTTGGGGTTTGGGGCTTAGGGTCGTTTGGGCACTTGAAGGGTTTGGGGCTTTGCAAGGCTGAGGGCCTTTGCCGACACTGACACCCTACACCCAAACCTAAACCCTAAACGCTAAACGCTAAACGCTAAACCCTAAACCCTAAACCCTAAACCCTAAACCCTAAACCCTAAACCCTAAACCCTAAACCCTAAACCCTAAACCCTAAACCCTAAACCCTAAACCCTAAACCCCACACCCTGAAACCCTGACCCCTAAACCCTGAACGCTAAAGCCCAAACCCAAGCTGTTCCTTGAGGGCCTGTCTGTTCCGAACTCGTCAGGACCTGTTCCAAAGAACGATCCTCCAGTCGAGGCAAAGAAGGTGCCTGCCCGATCTGGCAGCCACTTCGGGTTTAGGGTTTAGGGTTTTGAGGTTTAGGGTTTAGGGTGTTATGTGTTGACTTAGTTTCGGGTTTAGGGTTTGGGGTTTCAAGGTTTAGGGCTTAGGGGTTTAAGGTTTAGAGTCTAGGGTTGAGGGTTTTTAAGGGTTGAGGATTTACACGGCGGAGGGTTCCGGGTTGGAGGCTCATGAATACTACAGGAGTCCAAGTCAATTGCCGACGTTGTTCGCTTGTCAACCCTGTTTAACATATGGACACTGCTCGAAAATATGGTCCCTTTTGTGGGGTACTGATTATAAGGTGGCCCCACCCAAAAACAGACCATGATTTAGGGAGCTCAACATATTTAAAGTATATATATATATATGTATACACACATGTATTTATTTTTGCAACCTCATGCTCATATTTACATGTGTATTTGGGTGTAAATGCCCTCAAATTCCAAATTAGCTGAAACAGGCCCCCTTTCTTGCTAGTTCAGCGGTACCCTTGTGCCTTTTTTTTTTGGGTTCAAGGTTCCCTTACAAAGTAAGCAACCCCCAAAGAGGGTACCCTTAGTATACTATGGCTACTGGGCTACCAAGCTTCTGAAGCAAAAGCGGATTAGGGTTTAGGGTTTAGGGTTTAGGGTTTAGGGTTTAGGGTTTAGGGCTGTGCAGGTAGCCACCAGTCTTGCCCTGAGTCGGAGCCCGGACCCCCTAAGCCCCAAGCACTAACTGAGTTTAGGGTTCAGGGTTTAGGGTTTAGGGTTTATAGGGTTTAGGGTTTAGGGTTCAGGGTTTAGGGTTTATAGGGTTTAGGGTTTAGGGTCATTGTATGCCTGTCCAACCATCGGCGTACGACATCTGATCATTGGGGCTTCACGAACAATGCTTAAGCCCTAATCCACAGCAAGCCCATTTCATAACCCTAAGCTCTAAACCCTAAACCCTAAACGCTAAACCCTAAACCCGAATCCCTTAAACCAATGCTGCTTGTGGCTGCTTGCTGACGGCGCAGGCGGATCCAGCCAGCCAGAGCAGCCAAAGGACGCGTACGGAACACGGATGGGCGCACAGTCGCAGTACCATCGGCGAACCATAAACCCTACACCCTCAACTTCAATAAGGAACACAGTTGCTACTCTGATACACGCCAAGGAAGGGCCCCTGCTGTATACCAGCCACCCCCCAGCCCACACACGGATGCATGCGTTGCTCACCTGGCGAGCATGTTTCCACTGCCTTGAAGCAGAACCCTACAGACCTCGACTCTCAACCCTATAGGCTCTAAACCGCTGAAGTTGCGGGTATGCTTATAGGTTTCCCGTCACCCTAGACCCAAAACCTAAACCGTAAACCCTAAACCCTAAACCCTAAACCCTAAACCCTAAATCCTAAACCCTGAGTCCCCCAAAAACGCAGGACGGGAACGGGCAAGCAGCGCCTGGCAGTGGCGCGGACCCTGTGCTCCATGGACATCCGCGGGGCACTGGGCGCTGTGCGCTGGCAGCAACTGCGTGTTCGGGGGTTCAGGTGTTCAGGGGTTTAGGCTTTAGGGTTTAGGACTTAGGGCTTAGGGTTTAGGGTTTAGCATTAGCGTTTAGGGGTACAGGTTCTTGGGTTTAGGGGTATAGGCCCCATACCCTTAACCTCTAGACCCGATACCCCTAAACCCCATTCGGGTTTCGGGTTTAGGGGTATAGGATTTAGGGTTCCAGCCGAAGGAGATCCCTGTACGCAACGTGCCCCAAATCCACCCAAACCTAAACCCTAATCCCTAAACCCTAAACCCCAAAACCCCCAAAAAAGCATCCACGAATAAACCCCAAATTGACCCGTAACCGTAAACCCTAACCCTAAACCCTAAACCCTAAACCCTAAACCCTAAACCCTAAACCCTAAACCCTAAACCCTAAACCCTAAACCCTAAACCCTAAACCCAAACCCTAAACCCAACCCCTAAACCCTAAACCCTAAAAAACCCTAACCCTAAACCTAAACCCTAAAAACCCTAAACCCTAAACCCTTAAACCCTAAACCCTAACCCTAACCCTAAACCCTAACCCTAAACCCTAAACCCTAAACCCTAAACCCTAAAACCCTAAACCCTAAACCCTAAACCTCAACCCTAAACCCTAAACCCTAAACCCTAAACCCTAAACCCTAAACCCTAAACCCTAAACCCTAAACCCTAAACCCTAAACCCTAAACCCTAAACCCTAAACCCTAAACCCTAAACACAGAGAGAGCCAGGTGCGGGCGGCTGCCGCCGAAGCCATGGCCGCCGGCATCACGGACACGGCCAAGGTGAACTGCAGAGTAGTTTCAGGGCTTAGGTTGGGATGTCCCCCCGCATACTAGCAGTCCCTAAACCCTAAACCCTAAACCCTAAACCCTAAACCCTAAACCCTAAACCCTAAACCCTAAACCCTAAACCCTAAACCCTAAACCCTAAACCCTAAACCCTAAACCCTATACCGTAATCCCTATTGAAGACGGTTAGTATAAGGGGGAGCATCCCAAGGCTTAGGTTGTCTTAAAAACCAATTTTTTCTAAAAGTACAATCATTGCTCAGAGTAGCTTACTCTTTGTTTTGCCTTTTTTCTGGCTCTTGCTCGTATTCTTTGTGGGGTCTCTTGCCCAGCCTATGGTCGAATTTTAACTTCCTGAGTTGGTCGGGTGACCTTCAGCTTGGTTGGTTCCCTGCTTGGAGGATCGGGGCACTTAGTAAGTAGGGTTATAAGTACCTTAATTGAGGTTATGAGTAGCAATAAGTATGGTTACCCTATTTATAACCCCACGTCCTAAGTCCCCTGAGCCTTTCAGTGGGGGTTGGGGAAGAGTCTGAAGGATGTTGGGCAGATACATGTACACCCCTAAACCCCCGAACGGCCACGCGGAAACTAGGGGCGATTGCAACGAAGGGCCTTTCGGTCGAGGCGAGTGTGCCTGCGGTTTAGGATCAGGGGGTCCAGGGGTTTAGGGCCGTGGGGGTTTACAGCCTTAGGGGGGTTTAGGGGTTCAGGGTGGGTTTAGGGTTTAGAGGGGGTTTAGGGGGGGTTTAGGGGCTTGTGGGCGGTTTAAGGCTTTTGGGGCTTGTGGCGCTGAGGGGAGCTCCCGCTGGTGGTTTAGAGACGCGGCCACAGCCTTGTGCTCAACAGCATCTGCCAGCATCGACATCACCAGGTAAGACCTCGTGCTTAGTGCTGCTTGCCTAGGGTTTGGGCTTATAACTCTTAAGAGCAGAGGACGCCCTTAACCTTAAGTTCTAAACCCTCGGACCCCAAACATCCGAAGCTGCAGGTTCGAAACCCACATAGGGGCTTTCTTCCCTCCGTGGCTCCTCTTGGCCTGGTCGTGAGACCAAGGCAGCCGTAGCGTAGCTCTCAATGGCGACCGCCGCCCTGCCCCTTCTGCCTATGAACCCGGACCCTGCGCGGCTGAGCACTGCCAGCCCGCGCGACGCGACGTGCCCTGGGCTGGACATGACCGGAGACTGCCCCCCCCTTCCCCATGCCCGCCCATGGGGTTGGGGGCGGGTTGGGTCTAGGGTGTTAGGGTTGGGGTTGCCCCAAACCCCAAACCCCAAACCCCAAACCCCAAACCCCAAACCCCAAACCCCAAACCCCAAACCCCATACCCCAAACCCCAAACCCCAAACCCCAAACCCCAAACCCCCAACCCCAAACCCCGAACCCAAACCCCCAACCCCCAACCCCAAACCCCAAACCCCAAACCCCAAACCCCAAACCCCAAACCCCAAACCCTGAACCCTAAACCCTGAACCCTGAACCCTGAACCCTGAACCCTGAACCCTGAACCCTGAACCCTGAACCCTGAACCCTAAACCCTAAACCCTAAACCCTAAACCCTGACCCTGAACCCTGAACCCTGAACCCTGAACCCCCCCCGAAGTCCCCCATCCCCCCTCCTGAAATCCCCAAACGCCAGAGTCCCAATTTACCCACCTACCTGACTCCTAGACCCCAGCCCACACCCTAAACCCTGAACCCTAAACCCTGAAACCCCTAAGCCTGAAATCTAAAACCCGGAAGCCCTAAGCCTCAAAACCAAACCCTAGACCCGAAACCCTAAACCCTAAACCCTAAACCCCTAAACCCTAAACCCAAGAAGCATGCGTCCCTACGTGGACCCCGAGGATACAGCAAACGCCCTTCGACACAGCGGCCAGGCAGTGGTAAACCCTAAGGGATGTTTGATTAGTTTTTTTTCGGTTTTAGGGCTTTAGGGCTTTAGGGTTTTGGGGTTGGGGGATTTAGGGGTTTGGGGTTTGGGGCTTAGGGGTTTTAGGGGGCTTCGGTGGTTTGCCCCTACCCTACCCAACACACTCAGCTCGCAAACAAACTTGTCGGGGCTTATTTTCGCGCTTCGGCGACTTCTCGCGGACCTTCGGATGTCTCCGGGTGGTGTTATCAAGCCACTTTTGAGACCCGAAACCCTGCACCCAAAACCCTGCACCCCGAAATCCACAGCCTGTTTGAGACCCCCGCAACCTGAACTTGACTGTCAAGGCCCCCATGATTTGCTCTTCAGGGCTTAGGTCTATAGGGTTCACGGCCCTAAACCAAAAAGCACCCGCCGAAGCTCCTCTTAAGCACCCCCAAGGTATCCCCCAAGCACGCCAAAACACACCAAAACTCCCCCAAACACCCGAAAACACCCCAAAACACCCCAAAACACCCTAACCCCCAAACCCTAAACCCTAAACCCTAAACCCTAAACCCTAAACCCTAAACCCTAAACCCTAAACCCCAAACCCCAAACCCCAAACCCTAAACGCTAGCGGCCGCCACCTCTCGAAACTCCTTGCTGCGAGGCGCCGCGCAGCCGTGGAACACATCTGCAGCTGGCTCCAGTCCCTCTTGGGATTTCAGACAGACAGTGCCTCTGCTGGCCTTAGGGTTTAGGGTTTAGGGTTTAGGGTTTAGGGTTTAGTGTTTGGGGTTTAGGGTTTATGACCCTAAAAGCTGGATGTCTTGATTTTGCAAGGTTGAAGCTGCTGATTCACTGGTTGTTGGAGACGTAATTACCCTAAGCCTAAGCCCAAAGCTAAGAAAGCTTCACACCCTAAAGCCCTAAAGCCCTAAAGCCCTAAAGCCCTAAAGCCCTAAAGCCCTAAAGCCCTAACGCCCTAAAGCCCTAAAGCCCTGAAGCCCTGAAGCCCTGAAGCCCTGAAGCCCTGAAGCCCTGAAGCCCTGAAGCCCTGAAGCCCTAAAGCCCTAAACCCTAAACCCTAAACCCAAAACTAAACCCTAAAGCCCTAAAGCCCTAAACCCAAGACCCCGCATCTCAAGCGAGGCATGCGGAATCAGGCGGAGCACGTGGAGGCTCGGGGAGTCGTTTAGGGTTTAATGTTTAGCGTTTAGGGTTTAGGGTTTAGGGCTTAGGGTTTAGGGCTGGTGCGAGGCTTAGGGAGCTCTAGAACGGGGCTTTCATCGGGTTTGAGCGGGGTTTCGGGCTTTATGGGTTATGGCCAACCCTGAACCCTAAACCCTAAACCCGAAACCCGAAACCCTAAACCCTAAACCCTAAACCCTAAACCTTAAACCAGGGGATTTAGGGTTTGGGAGGAGCACATGGGCTCATGGGCTCATGGGCTCATGGGCTCCCACGACCTTTTCGCAGGAGTGCGGCATTCATGACAGGGGACTTCGGGCTACCGAAGCCCTCCCTATACCCTAAACTCTCAACCCCCGAAGCCCTCATGGGGTTCAGGGTTTAGGGTTTAGGGTTTGGGGTTTGGGGTTTGGGGTTTGTGGTTTAGGGCTCCCCTCTAAACCCTAAACCCTAAAGCAACTTCGGCCAGGCCCTCTGGGAGTCCTTCCTACGGCGCTACCCCAACCCCAGCGTGGCACTGCAGATGCTCTGCCGCCAGCTGCTGCGCACGCAGCGGGACTGGAGAGCGACCCTGGGCTTTTGGCTTTGTGGTTGAGGGTTTATTAGGGTTTAGGGTTTAGATCCTGGGCTTGTGGTTGGGGGTTCAGGGTCTAGGGTCGAGGGTTTAGGGTTTTGGGGGTTTTGAGGGTTTTGTGGTTTTTGTGGTTTTTGTAGTTTTTGGTGTTTTTGTGGTTTTTGTGGTTTTTGGGGTTTTTGGGGTTTTGGGGTTTTGGGGTTTTGGGTTTGGTTTTGGGGCTAGGCCTCAGGATTTGAAGGCTCTAGGCTCTAGGGCCTGCGGTTGTTGTGCAGACCTGTAGGCTCTATTTGGGTAGGATTCCAGTGGAATAGCCCTAAACCCTAAACCCTAAACCCTAAACCCTAAACCCTCAACCCTAAACCCCCGTTTGGCAAAAGTGGCTTTTGGCCCTGCGGGCTCCGCGAAGGAAATTCTAGGGTTCTTAACGGAGAAGGGCTCAAGGGGGGGGTATGTAACCCAAGGTTCCCTAATACTCGCCACTACTCCCTAAGGCTCCCGAAGGTTCCCTAGGCACCTACCCCTCATCAAGCCCCCTCGCTTAGGAACCCTATTAAGGAAAGTCTGGATTCCGCTCATCTCGCCCCTGGCGCCGGCGCAGCAGCAGGCGGATCCTCTCCGTGACGTCTGCTTGCGCTTGGGCTGCTTTTGAGCCCTGCATCCTCTTTAAGGGCTAAACCCGAACGCCCTAACACCCTAACACCCCAAACCCTAAACCCCAAACCCCAAACCCTAAACCCCAAACCCCAAACCCTAAACCCTAAACCCTAAACCCTGAACCCTAAACCCTCCAGGCCGCAACTCCGCCCCGAAGTCCTGGCCTCCCACTCCCGCCCAGCTCACCCGTCCAACATAAGGGGCTGTGGCTGCTTAGAGTTAGGGTTTAGGGTTAGGGTTTAGGGTTTAGGGTTTAGGGTTTAGGGTTTAGGGTTTAGGGTTTAGGGTATAGGGTATAGGGTTTAGGGTTAGGGGAGGTTGGGGATTGTGGGCTTGTAATTGGGTAGCCACTGAGGAAAGTTGACTTTCACCGCCAGAAACAGGATGTAGCATTCGGCCATTATGGTCATCTCCGAAACCCTAAACCCCAAATTCCAAAACTCTAAACCCTCAGTCCCTCAACCCCAAGCCCTAAACCCAAAATTCCTAGAATCGAACCCCACACCCCAAGCCCTAAATCCCTAAACCCTGCAAAGACGTCAGCAATGATGGGCCCTAAATCCCTAAATCCCTAAATCCCTAAATCCCTAAATCCCTAAATCCCTAAATCCCTAAATCCCTAAATCCCTAAATCCCTAACTCCCTAAATCCCTAAATCCCTAAATCCCTAAATCCCTAAATCCCTAAATCCCTAAATCCCTAAATCCCTAAATCCCT